GAGCAACAGGGCAGCACCAGAACGACCAGTACATGATTAGCAAAGTAAAAGTTTTCTTCCAGGAACACGGTTACGCTACATTCTCTTCGCAACCATTCATCATCAATAGGCCTCTCGTTATTTGGGAAAAGGTGATTCTGTCATACTGTTGATAAACGCCCGGATTTTCAAAAAACTGGATAGCTGACCAGTTGTTGCACCACTTCAGTGTTCGTCTAATTATCATTCTCCAGTCTGTGGAGCATACAACCACCGGGGACTAGAAATATCTTCTACCCCAACGTACCGACTATTTTTTTTGTCTAATTTCCTAATTGCACTGACTTAAATGTTAGTTTCAACTTTTTGTAAAAATTCTTTTGACCTTGGTACACGCTGCATTGTGTCAGTACCTCACGTGAAACTACACTAGCGACTGCATTAAAGCAACGCGAAATTGCCTTGGGTAATTACAGGAATCGAGCCATACAGTCATATGTGTCGACTGATTACGTTATTGCTGTCAAATATCGCATCATACTCAGACAGAGTAAAAGACAATTTGTTTTAGCAGCTGAAAGTCAAATCTTTCGGTTTTCGAAGCCCTAAATACGAATATAAGAGTGACAAGGATGCGAGCTAGCTGACACAAAAGGCATACTCGCAAGGCGAAAACTCAGTGGATCACGGATTCAGAAGTTACCTACGAAAATTTTAGATCCGGTGTAAACTTACCCTCAGCTTTCAGACTTTCGAGACGTTCTAGATTCAGTAAGGAAGGACTGGCGAAAATATCTGATTCTGACCGAAATATGAATGGAATCACAGACCTCAGCCCCCGAAACCATCATGAGCTAGATATGTGACTATAACATGACTCAAAACAGACCTTTTTCTGGGTCGGTTTTTCTTTGTCATTCTAAAATCAAAACAGGCACCAACGTCGTCGACAATCTGTCTTAAAATCAGAATCAACCGGCGGTAAACTGCAATCTATCAGGATTATATTTTCTATTAGCACAATTTCGATCACCCAGACATGAATTTCGCAGGATACGTCGAAAGAGGTCGAGTTATCCCAACACTGTGGAACAACTAGTGTTCTTGGCTTGTTTATGATGTTCCTGAGCTGTGTTTAAGATGTGAGAGAAAATATTTGTGTAGTTATCAGATCGCCCAACACTAACTGCGAATAAAATTCCCATCTCTAGCTGGGATATGAAATCTGCCGCTTAAGCTGAAGCCCCAATTACGTTAGCCTGGTTTTGGGTTCAAACCAACAGACATAGTAAGTCAGTTATTTCCAAGAACATCAGGAAGTAATTTGAGTGTCACTACCCGAGACCAGAATATTTCCAAGTAATTTCGTGAAGAACCCCAAATTCAGTAGCCACAACCGGTCGCATGGAACCACTGAGCATTCAATATGCGGCTACTTAACTGCAGTTTGAGTGTATCCAATAATGGGAAGGTCTCTGCTTTACTTCACCTTCGTATTCTGTTTTTAGGCACAAAAACAAGGTAAAATTTCCTGTTAGTTAGCATATTACCTTTTTGAATTTTAGGAACTGGTGGACCTGTTTTAGGAGCATTTCTTTGATACAGGCATGCGTCATGACTTTGGGCATAACTCGTTCTGCATATCAGGTTTGTGACTGTGTAAGCGTAGCTGGTTGCTCATACCGTACACTCGTTCGCAATGACGCGTGGTGAAGAAATGTCATATGAACCAATTACATCCATTCAACTACCGCTTTTCTCATTGGAGATTCACGGCGAAACTGATTGTTACAGAAGTGCTGGATGTATCAGGAAGCTAGAATAGATCATCGTAAGAAAGTCTAAAAAGAATTTAGTCTCCGATAGTTTTACAGATAGCTAACATGGGGAGGCATCCACTCATCTCCTGAATATATTCATCTTGTAAAGTTCAGCTTGCTGCTTAATAACGGAAGAAAATGGATGGAGACAGAGTGTCGGGAGGCCAATGGGTCACCGTGGGGTATCCATGACCTAATCCTATCCGAATTCATTTGTGACGCGGAAAATGTGCTGTTTCGAAAGATAGAAAAACATCAAATTGAAATGGCGTCTTCCCACCTTAAACAAACGCACCACACGAGGTATATCAGGTTAAACGGACGAACTCCGTACCGTTACAAGACATCTTGATTTACATGTCTGGTAGGGGACTACACTAGTTGGGTTTGTGAGCGAAATGAAAGTTTCTATTTCGGCTGGCTATCCAAGAGTGCGACACACTTATTGAAATTGCGCTATGATAATGGGAAAACTTGGCCCAACCTTATACCGTACCTACATGAACATATTATGTGGCCAATCTAAAAACAAGCGTTTGCTCCATTATTTCATAGAAGACAGTTCCCAACCCTCGCAACTATCCTCACCAGTTTGTGAGACAGCAGTCTGTCAGTGGCGCTTGTTTATGTTCAGTTTGTGAGAGGGGGTAACATCTTTCTACGAGGCTAATGGCCAGGTTGATGTCTTTACTGGTGTCGACCACAGACTTCGTAGCGTTTTTTCGAAATGTTGATAGCTCGGTGGAAAATCAGGTGTCACTCAAACAATCACACAACACATGACCAGCAACTTCGAGCGTTTTTTGCTCAAAACAGCTCGTCATTGGTACTTCCGTCTGCCGACAGGCTTCAACCCAGTAACAGCTACATCGCGTTCGTAAGTGCAAGCCAATTTTGAAACCCTGCAAACATATCCACTACCACCTGATCGACAGCTTACCCCAAATTTGGTTGATGTCAAAAGGTCTTCGTCTGAAACAGTTTATTTAGTACAGTGGATTCCTGTTACGCAAATGGAGCTTATTTACTGTCGCGAAACGTTTGCCTGAAAAAATTATAACTTAACAGTGTACGACTGAACCACGATGAAGCAGCGCTTGACACGAGTGCGTGGCATCGGCCAGCCAGCTTATGCACACATCACTGTTTGTCTAGATGTGACTGATGTTGGTTATAGAGGTGCACGGAACCTGTCGTACCGACTGGGTTCACCGGCTGATTTCCATTGATCACAAATAGAACTACAGTTACCATGTTGAAATTTCACCCCTGGCAGTATAAGCACCAACGTGCCTGTGTAGAGTCAATGTTCCGACAATTATGTCCAGATATGCCAATTAACCACCCTTGCCATGTGGTGGCTTCAGTGACAGTGGTGCAGTAATGGTTTACTCGGGCCCATTGGTAACGTCAGGTAATGCTTCTATGGGTGGCTGTCAAAAGAAAGCCCACTGTAGTGGCACCTCCTTATCAGATGTGGATAATCCGAGGTAAAAATTCCGTGATCAAAAGCTGAGGGTCATCCCACCAGAGATTAAGTGACGCTATAAAGTGGATGACGCAACTCGACACTACCAACAGAGGACGCCGAAACTCCGGTAAACGATAAATTTGAAGTAGAAGAAACACAGGCCACAAGCGATAGGACACGCCTGACGAATGAATGGCCTATCACCCGTTAAGGAAGCTAGCCAGATCGGCTCCCTAGAAGATACCTGGAGAGATGGTCGTCGGTGAACGTAATGACAGCTCAATGTAGCCGTTGCTGTTCATGAAGGTGTAAAGTCTGTGTAGCACGGGGCACCTCAACCGACTTTCTTCCACTTACTAAGAGTTGTCAGCAGTTGTACGTTTCATGGGCTACTCAAAATGTCTTGCATTACACATATCGGCTAGTATTGACAAAGACGGAGCCAATAAGCCATGCGGGTTATCAGCCTACTCGGCGACAAGCAAGAACAGATTGTTCCATCTGCTTGCCTTGTCCGAGTGGAATGACTTAATTTGAGCTCGCTCCCTTTTTTGAAGCATATAGTTTGCGCAACATTCCGTTCTACCAAGATTTGCTGAACCAGTAAATTTATGCACTCAAAACTGGCAGGCAGTATGCTGATATCAGTCTCGCGCGGAAGCTGACAGGCATAACTGCAATGGCCGGATTATTTGGTAAGCCCAAAGTAGTGGTGGGACTCTTAATCCTTCTTGATATCACAAGTGGTCAGCTAAGAAATTGAGGGGAGATCTGAATTAAGCATACGTTATTTGGTTGAGGATTACGGTATAAGTTGATGAAACCTCACTTCCGGGGCATGGCCAGTGACAAACTTATCAATCGACCATTCAGGTCAGTTCAGCGAGACCCACTCTATTCATGCGACTTCTTGCATTGGCACCAGTCGACACGAAGTCTAAATTAAAACGGGTTTCCAGATCGTCTATCTCCTTTGCACGGTTGTCCGACCTCAGCCTACTGACGGTGAGACTTAGTGACATTCGTCCGCTTTGAGGCCGATCGTTATTGGTATCGAAGGATGTATATTAAGGTACGGAAATGGTAAAGCCAAGATACCTGACTGCAGCTGGAAATTCTGCAGCGCAATATTGCTCACGGAACTTGGGACTAGGCGACAACTGTCTAGTACAAGCTTTATTCAACGGTCGTAACCATACAATAACTTGAGGTAAAATGGAGTCACGATCGGGTGCTTTCGAAAGACTAGATTAGAACACTCTAACAGAAAACGCCATTCTACAAGGACATCTACATCTATAGAGGTTACTTATAAACCTCAATGTCTGACATTCCCTGACTTAAGTGTTAGATTACACCTCAGCATTACACTATGCATAGGTTAGACGACCGAGTACCGACATATTGTCCCTGTACTCGTGAACACACCTAATCCTTCCACATCGGTTGACTTGCACAAACGAAAGGTCGTCAGTCTATCAGAATGCTTACAATATTGCTTGCACGAAGTTGATACTGGACGATTCCAAATGGATTTCTAATGGCTCACAGTGCATCACATAGGATAGAGTCGCATTTGAGAATTCGAGTGTTAACAGTCGTCCTGCTTATGATGTTTCAAATTGGATATCCTTAAACTAGCACGACGGACTGATTGTAAATGACGCTGGTCACCAAGTGGACCATCTAAACCAGTGAGCGTACCAGCGGACAGAGTAGCGAAAAAAGTCGGAGGATAGCATACGTGAGTATGACAAACATTTGTCGAAAAACTGGAAGATAAAATGAAACAAATAAGCAAGGAACACAAGCCAACTGGTTGAGAAGTTGGACAAATTGAGAACAGTTAAGGGCAGAGAAGCGGACGGAAACTTGTGTTTGATGAGCACAGACACCGACATAGTCGCGGAGGCACGGCGAACAGGAGAGAACTAAGGAAGTACATGATTTTGGGTGAAGGCTGGATAGCAGGAAATGATGGATTGTTCATAGCCGCTTGGCAGAGGCGGGGATTGAGGCGATCAGTTAGCGAGGCGAGGGTTAGGCAATGGATAATTATCGGGTTTCTGTACATTGTGCTGACTTATGGTGTACAAGGTATAAAAGAAAGTACATTGATGGCTCCACCGGATTCAGCAACCACAGAATGCTGTCCCTACGGCTAGGGGTACATGACAGGCGAACGGGTAATTAGAAAGATATCCCACACGAAGTCAGTGCAAATGTCCAAAACTATCAACGAACTTATACGAAAGTGATATTATATGACAACCGCGTACACATGAATCTGTCCGCTTAAGCACTGCATGCACCTGCAGCATTTGTTAGACTGGTTGCACTGAGATCAAAGTTACAAAACTATCAACGAACTTATACGAAAGTGATATTATATGACAACCGCGTACACATGAATCTGTCCGCTTAAGCACTGCATGCACCTGCAGCATTTGTTAGACTGGTTGCACTGAGATCAAAGTTATGATCAATTAACAGGATTCGTGTGGGGGGGAGGGAGAAAAACGGGGGAGAAACGAATGTACAAGTGAACGAATGCAAAAGAATATGGAAGTATGAAAAAGCGCAGGCTGGTGTTCATATACTCCGTAGTTCCAGTCGAAAAAGTGAGTAGTCGTTGAATTCGTCGACGAAAAAGCAGCGTTTGTGATGCTAAAGATGTCGGAGGAGTCGAGGTATAACTGGAGCAAGGAACACAGCAGCTTGGCAACGAGCTGGTGGGTTAGCTAGACTGGTATGATAAAAACGACCTGGTGATAAACGTTATCGTTGCGAGGAAGATTCACGTGTACTGCGTAAGCTCGACATTCCCGAACCGGTCGCATTATTCGGATTTCGTAGCGCCTTATCCAGTTTGCGTTGCAACCTGGCGTTTTCAGACTTGTAGTCCTCCAGCTGACTCTGAACTTCTCTTAGCTGATAAACGCAGTGGAGAAAGAGAAGTTGGGAGGCATGAAAATCGGAGGCTACACGGTTAAAGAAGCTAGAAAACAGCCTTCGGTCGATGAAAACCGGTGTTAGATAAGCGCTTACTGAATAAATTAGGAATCCAGATTATCGCCGCAGCAGTGTACGAAGTTGTCAGTCTGTCCAGCTGGTTGCCTGGACAGAGGATTAACGGAGACTGCTCTCACAAATTCAGGGCTCAAAACACTGATTCATAAACAAACCTACCACTAGTTACTAACAAACATGCGAAATATTTACTTGTATCACCTTAATATCGTCCAAAGAACAAAAACGAGGACACTTGTTTTCGAGAAAAACACTCATTTCTAATCAAGTAGAACATAAGATTGACGGAAACTCGGATACTGCGCCTACCTGATGAGCCCCAAGAAGAGCGAAACCGGTCGTGGGGTGTCGAAGAGTTTTCAGCAACGTTGTGAGTAGTTTCCTTTATGAAAATAGGACACTTGTTGTTAAAAGCCACTAAGTTTTCCAGGAAGTGCTTGCCTGATGTGAAGTAATCAATCCCACGTGCGAAAGAATACACAGTTTGGAAGACAAGCGTTTTACTCGGTTATCAGGTTCCATACAATGACTAATACTCACAGATGCTGTTAGAACCACGGGACCACCAGCATGGCTTCAGACAGCGTCGAATAGGGTAATGCGCACCATAGAGCTTGCGCAAGCCATGTTTTGCACGAACTGACGACGGTGGATGCATCACCGTACGGAGCCTAGTCTGGCTACAAGACAAGTGATGTCCTGTACGCGATGAAGACACGCGACTAGTAAAGGTTGCATGATATGCAATGGTGGAATTGGGTCAGTCATACGCCATGGTATGGAATAAGTCGTTGGATCTGCCAATGTGCATCCGAAAAAGCCCCAAACGAAAGCTACCTAGAAGAACCACACCCACTGCAATAAAAAGCATGGTGCACTTCCGTCAGGGTCATGAAACTCTGCTACCTTTGATGTAGCGATTCGACAAAAAGGATGACGTTTTGTTTGGAACTAGCAATTACTGACTAGAATGTTTCTGGTGAAATTCAGGTTAGAGATCCAGTTGGGAACCACCTGCCACATCACAAACACTGTGAACGTTGTTAGATCTGACTATGGTTGCAGCAGAAGAGTTGTCGGTCTTCGAGTTGGGAAGATGACGCGTTATACAAGCCGGTTTGTTTACAACGCGCAGTCAAGAAGTGAAAAACGGGGACCTACAAGTGACCGAAACTTGGGATTTCGGAACGAATGACGGATCAGGAGCATTGCTGGTAAGGAAGCTATGACACTAAGAAAAGATGAATGTAAAGCAGCAGTCAGGTATCTCACTCGCGGTTTTCCATTCTACGGGCCTTCGAACAGCTGTAGTGGCTAGAAACATTAGGACAGGTAAGCGGAGGTCGAGGAAAGATAACTGGAGGCTACCTTAGGGAGGGAGTTTTTCACTGACAACTTCCGTATTCGGACGAATTTATCCCAACTCATGGTGATGAGTGTCTATCCCTGTATGAGGATGGACTATCACGATGTGATCATCCTTAATTTGGTCATGAAACGTTTTTTCCCGCTGGAGTCTTTTCTACTGACTCCTTGTACGAAGGCGCTAATGTAGCAGATCACTAGAAATCAATGTGTATTCATTGGTTGAACGCGTCTTTTAAAAGCATTTACCTAAAAAGACGCTGTTCCCCTATTTGTATTGTCTGCTTAAAGTGGCCGATTTTAGGCATATCAGGAACTGTGCCCCTAATTAGGTGATGAAGGAACTACCGAGAAATCAGACTGTTCGAAGCTCTTAGCGGATAATACTGTCTTCAAACGCGGTCATGTTGGAAGCCATGATTTCGGCATTGAGATGCGAAATACTGGAGAACTCCCACGGAACTCCCACGGAGCACAGAATATCAACTAAATGTCCAAATGCGGCAGCTCGAGTGCAATAATTGGTACTTGACCTGTTCACTGCGTACAGGTGATAAAAAGCATGGCAAACTTAATGCGAAGCTCGGGGGAAAGAGCAGCACCCAATTGAACAATATGTGCTTGCCTGCATTAGTGTCACAGTCAAAAGTTTGATTTCGCGTCAAAATGGTTAGGTGAGTTCCAGTTCTACTCAGAATCGCACGAGATGATGCAAAACATGGCTCTTACCAGGTCTTACCCTCGTGTTTTAGCATCGCTCAAGCAAGAAAATTTCCACAAACGGAGATTATTCGTGCTGGACGTCAAAGTAACGCATTTGTCTCTTACGATTTTGAAATCCAAATTGTGGGGAGTCAGAGATGGCTTACTGGTAAAGGCAAGAACTTACTGACCGGAAGGTCAGTGGTACGAACCCTACCTCTGCACTCCGACTACTGTAGGCTTGGACAACCTAGCCGTATCTCAGCCGACGTGCCTCCTTCGTGTGGCACGACAGCTAGGCACTGAAAGGTTGTTACATCTGGACGAATATTTAATTTTTACCAACAGAATACGTTCTTACTTGTTTGGTCGGTGTTGCCGAATGACTCGAGCAGATAGTACATGCTGGGGGGACAACACCTATACCAGATTCTATACGGGAGAAATATTGCCAGAACTGTAACAGCAAAATAGCAGACTCGTTCTAAAGTGAAAACAACAACAGGGGTTGAATGCTTTTTCTCAGATGGACTGCCTCCTAAAAAGAGTGCTGTGTTCCAAATTCTTCCGATCACCACCAACCTAAAGTGAGTGAACTTCAGAATTAAAGCGATTTTTTTCAACCTGGCAACTTTGCATAAAAACCTAAGCCCTAAAAACAGGACAACCGAACGAGTGATCTGGAAACGGTATCGATAAACTGAAGACTCCAAGTGTAGTACGGATTGTGTCAAAACGAAATCCGCCAATGACATAACTAAGTTGTCCTTTGTTTACGAGAGAACTACTGATCTGACACGTGTGTGTACATGCGTGTCCAGCAGTAGTGGCGGAAAAGAGAATATTCGAAAGCATGTAAAAAGTAAAAGGTCCAAGGCGATGAATGTAACCTGAGGAAATTGGACTGTTGTAAAATTAACACAGAAGCGAGTAGTTTAACAATGTAAAATACATGAGTAATACCGTGTTCAGAAATGACAACTCGACTTCTGTGTGCCAAACATGTGTGAAGTTGACATTTCTAACATCTCGGAAAGATTAGCTAACCATGACTACTTGACCTACATGTGAATAAAACTTGATTACGGCAGTATGTCACAAGTTAAGAAACTTAGGTGCTGAGGTGTAGCGTTACCTCCCCCATATGTTCACCTGTGTTTTACTTTTTATGACAATTGATCTATATGGGTCTGAATGATAAAGATGCCAGTTAAGCAAGAGCGAGCGCTACACAAAAAACGTACTTGAATACAGTGGCACACACAGACCAGGCTCTAGGTTAAATTATTTACGACGTGACATTTACCTTATTTCGACCTCATAGATGTCAAGATGCAGCGTTATCCCACATTTTCAATGGCAGAAGGGAAACACCTAGGACATCAGTCTGTTGTTTACGAGCGTGTCCGTCACAATCGTTAAAGGTACAACGAAGAAGCTGGAGAAACACTTGGTAATCGTAGTAAACAGACTCATAGCAAGGCACCTTCCATCGGTTAAACTATTCATTAACTGCCACACTCTGTCGAGCCTAACCGAAGGTTGGCACTCCCAGCACTGAGTTCAACACAACGTTGGGACACATACGAGAAACGGGTATTGCAGATTCACTGGTACAACTCCTCTGATGATAACAAACACCCTCAGCTGTTTTTCTGAGGTTCGTGATGTAACCAGAGAACTGCAAGCAGCGTTACAGGTGCACAAAAAAATTAGTACGGTGCAAGTTAATGAAAAATACGGCTGTAGGCAGGGTTGCGAGCTCGTGCTAGCGTAGCGACCAAACGAGAAATGTTGAATATCTCATTAAACTTTTGATTACTCCAGCCTACGCCTGAGTGGTCCACCAGTGCATCAGCCTCTGCTGAACGGTTGATGAACTGTTATTCACCTGGCGGGAATGAGAAGAGATATTAACAAACACTCGGGCCCAGACGGCAGCGATCAAGAGCAACACCAAACCCAAAGACCCTTCTCGTGAAGGGTCTTTTGAGTCGTCTCATTAGTAAGCTTGACTCTAAAGAAACCGGGAAACAGATGGACCAGCGTCTTTGCCAAGTAGCTAGACAGCCTATTCAATGAGCGAGCAACGTAGAACATTCCATGTCAAATAAAGAGGACATCTTTTTGCACAAGATACCAGCTTGACATTTTCCAGGTGATAGCTCAGCCGTGTAAATGTCACATGCTTGAACAAAATATGCTACGACTGACGATAAAGTAGGAAAAGACGCAACAGTGGAAGCCAAAAATCGGCCAACAGAAAACCTACCTCTCTCTGGAACTTCCGCCTATCCTGCTTCAAATCAGCCTCTTGTTGCTCGCAGCTGTCAGCAATGGTTTTGTATCGTTTTATCTGACCTTCTAAACGAACAATCTGTCGGAGAGTAACACAAGAAGCATATGATTATGGAGGGTGAGATGTATGCTGGAAGGAAAGATGCTACCGGGAAACGCGAGGTAAATAGATTGTTCTCAACTGAACAGAACAAATCAGGAACTTCGTATGCACTCAATCATAGTTGGATTTACACTGGCACAATTAGTCTTCGGTAGCGTTTGATCCTTGCCCCGAAACACGTAGAGTTTGACGGCAATAAGGACTCGGTGAATGTTAGGCTTCAGTAGACATAAACGCATGTCCACGGACATCGCACTTAGGCTTCAGTAGACATAAACGCATGTCCACCGACAAATTAAGTTCACTAATCACTTGTTAGCGCGTCAGAACACGGAAGTGGCACTGGCGGCTGTGTGGATTTCTCAACCAGGATGGATAAATCGTGACCAGGTGTCATGTACCGCGACAGTAGTTTAGGAAGAGCCTTTGGAAGACCATCTACCCCTTGAATAGTTCAAAACGGCCATTTAGCTCATGAGCCCATCTTTCCGCGCGATGACCTCTATTGAGGAGCCGAATGTTTTTTCCTTTTTGAAACCACTCACACCTCAGTGAAGCCAGTGCACAGTCATTTCTTACAAGGATAGATATTTGAATAGGGTGATCATCCATCTGCACTGGCGTAGATTTTTGTCGATTCCGACACGATTATGCAAGAAAAGCTGAGAACGGTAGTGCAGCCTTAAATTGTAAGGTGCACGGAAAGCGGGCAAACAGCAACCTCGGTTGGAACGACTGGGCTAACCACACGGTGAACAACCCTTGGTGCGTTCTAATGTTCGGAATTTAAAGGTTCAAGTTCGCTGATGAGGAAAGGTCGCAGAAACATATAAACGATTAGATATGCTGTTAGATTCTCGTAGAAACGTCTACCCTAATTTCATTTACCTAACAGTGAACTGTTGCCTTTGTGCGAACGGTATACACAGATTCATTGGTTGCGCGATGACGCCTAAATACAAGACTAACTTCTACCTAGTATGGAAAGCACAGCGACTTGCGGAAATGGAAAGCATTTCTGTTTCATTTCTGCTGAGTATTTTATTCCGCTTGAGTATCATGCGAAAAACGATAAATATGGAAACATATGCCTCACTGTTCAGCAGAACTGACCAGCAATTAGGAGCCTTTCATTTACACCCGTAATTCACAAATCAGTCACTAACCAGTCAGTGCTTGACAGTCGTGTGTGACGTTGCTTTGGATTGCCAACGTTGCAATAGTGGGCTCATCTGGAGTAGAGTTTTAGCATACGGTGTGGCCTATCCTGAGGAACAATGCTTGCCTATTTCGTGTAGCTCATCGATTCGTGAACGTGGCTGTCGTAGTTTATATCCGAGGAGCATTTGACGTGCCCGTCTCAAAAGTGCAGTTGAGATTACCGGATAAGTGACAACGGTTGAACGAATAGGCACAACTTAGCGTAGAAAGGCAGCAAAAGCAGACCGGAAATCAGGTGACCAAGGAGGAAGGATACTTACAAAAGCTGTCATAAGAGAAGTTCAAGAAGCCCACTAACATTCCACCAATACAGTAGATCTTTGGCGACAGCTCTTGCCGAGCAACCGTAGAAATTCATCCAAGGACTTCTACTCCATCGCACACCTCATCGGATGTCATTTTCCTCCTACATGGTTTAACGCAATACCTCGCAAACTTCTGACAAGGGATTGTCCACTCAAGGAACGAATACTGATTCCTATGTGATTACAAGAGCTGATTATTCACCCTCTCTCGTTGTTGCTACCCAGGAACATCAACGACCCTGTCCATCCTGATCACCTTATTGGTACGGAGCCACAGAGTTTAGATAGGTGATCGTTTGGTCGTCTGATCGCTACCTTTCTATTATCGAACGAGGACGGCCTCATATGGATGGACATTCTACTTGACTGTAGTTTGTTTCTACATACAGGTGACAACAGATTGGCACTTGTTTCACGAAAGTTAATTACTTCACATGTTAACAAAACCTTCAATAGCTCTGAGTTATACATTGACAGCATAACCTAGGTTCGTCAACGCGCTGCTGAAACGGTGGATACTTTGGCTTGTGGGAACAGCAATGAAATCGGGGGATGAGTCTTCTGGTAAGAATGGGTATTTTTTGGGCCAAGGGAGGTAGATTATCGAGCTGTGTATAGAGAAATTGATTGCAAAATGAGTGGGCTTGTTCGATCGATAAAGTGTCGCAGATTAAAGTGTGTTGGTTAACAGTTAGTAACTGGATTTTCTCCGAAATGTTACATGATTGACCTTGTTCGCTATAAAAGGGCTTTACTAGCACCCTGTTCCACTGAGCTCTGGCAGTATGAGGAAGAGATGACTGGCACCTTACAGAGAGCGAATCAAAGCCTGTCACTTTGAACCATATACTTGCTAGCAAAATGGTCCGAGATGCTATTCGCAACGATGGTGATGGCATCACCCAACGATGTCGGGCACCCAGACGGAGAAGTGCAACCAATCAGTCCCAAAAGAGCTAGCTGCAACCTCAAGTTGATATGAAATGATTGTGTGCATTGTGCTCAACAACTGACCGATTAATCATGAATAGTTGGGTGTTAATCTCAAGTAGGTACCGATACACATGGAGAACATGACTATTGGCCCATTCGATTAAGGAGCGAACTTTCGAATGCCAAGACTTTCCGTAGAAAATTTCCTGGCCTGTTTGTAAAAATAAAACTGTATCGACTTGGAAAAATATGCTGAAAGCATAGCTAATCACGCAGGCCAGTCTGGACTGGAAGTCAGCAGTGAAATCCAAACGGATTGTGAAATAACTGACACTTTCTGCAGCGAACGATTGGACTAATACAAGAGTTGGGGCACCTCCATGTCAAGAAATTAGCTCGGCAGACACTCAACCATACGTGCCGGCATGCATTGCGATCACATCGCTTGAATGCCAAAGCGTCGTTTAAACTGGCTGGTTTGCACTTACACTCAGTCAGAAAAAGTCAGTAAGACCACGTGCTCTTTTACGAATAACCTAGGATAATGCACACGTGATTCTTCTAAGGTGGCGATGTTTATTAGTTTATTAGTAGAACATAAGTTTGACGGAAACTCGGGGACTGCGCCTACCTGATGAGCCCCAAGAATGGCGAAACCAGTCGTGGGCTGTCGAAGAGTTTTCAGCAACCTTATGGGTAGTGCATTAAGTTTATTAAAGCTCGTTGTGGATGGAAAAAGTGCAGGAAATACAGCCACTGAGGGTGCAGTTAGATTAATACAAGGAGAAGCGTACTGATCACGACAAAACGGAAAAGGTAAAATCGAAATTCAAGTGAACCACTAAGAACGATGTTTTGGGATACGAGAAACTGGTGACGAAGATTGTGTGAGAAGGAATGACTGAGATGTCCTTCAGAACCATCTTGCATAATGACTCTTTGCCTTCTTCATGTCGAAACTTAATGAGTCCCCTATATGGAGTTGAGATGCTCCCTGTTGTACACAATACTCCACGTTTCATCATGGGCTGAGCAGCCCTTTGAATGCCATAAACATCGTGAACGGGTCAGGTGACCTTATTTGGGAAACGCTGCTGCTTTTGGAAATGACTGAACACAGAAAATAATATTAGGGGGTGCTTCATAAATTTGGAGGGAGTTGCCCACTGGGGAAATATCATACATAGTGGACGAACACCCTCCGTGTAGTTCGATAGTAACGTTCCTCTCAAACAACGAAGCGCTAGAGTACAGGGGTCATTCACAAAAAAGAACAAAACAGGAGAAAACATAATGTCTTCCTTATAAGCACTGACGCACTACAAGAATGGCGTTCGACCAAAGTCAGTATAAACGTGTTTCCTTTTATTGGCCTGACTGCCGCGGTTACCAGCTGTAGTATTAGCTTTCTAAAGGTTAACTGTATCATAAAGAACGATTGCTAGTGTTTGTTCGAACTCAATTACGGCATCTAACATGCTCTGACTTGCGCATCATGACGCCGTGCATAAATAGCGACCAGATATGTACAAGCGTGCTTGTAATAACCCAGACACCTTCACAGCGTCCAAGGAATTCGGGTCCACACATGCCCCCTGAACTCGCCTGTGTGGTCTTATCCAATTCTGCGTTTCCCAGTTCCAAAAATTCACTATACTACATAAACCCGTCATCACGATCATTCGGTATTGCAAAGCTCTCAAGTGTATGGAAAGCGAACTTCAAACATCAGGCATAGGTTTGATATGGCAGTCCCCTTTGAGGGCTGGTATGCGTTGGTTAGCCACAGTGGTAGCCACGAAAACAGATGGACTTTCGAGAGGATGATCCCACTTCGAACGGCAGGAGGATAGATGGAAGCGTCCCACGTTTCTGTAAATCGTGATGAAAAAGTCACCAAATGGACTCCAAGTGGTACAATAAATTCCAAGCAGTGGTAGACGCGGGGCGACACGACCAAAAAGGTGGATTTTAAGGACAGCAATGAAACAGCGAGAGCCACGGATATACCATTCACAAGGGCTGCGCGGAAGTGAGTTGTCTATTTGGATTGAGAAGTTAGACTTGAGCGCAGAATAAATACCATTCAGACCGGCGCAACGCGTTCACGGTAGGTCGAGAAATCCGATTATTTCGTATGCAAATGTCTCAGACGAGCTATGGGCAACAAGTGAAGATTTGGCGAAAATGAAGTTGATTAGACGGAATACAAAAACCAGAATAAAACAAGATATCAATGAACGAACTATGATCGAAAATATGGCCATTATTCAGAAAACAAAATCGGTCGAGTGAAGGGGGCGTCCGATGATGAAATACGAAAGCACTTACATCGCTTTCCAGGGACGCGTTCTTTTGCAAGGCCTCTTGGAGCTTGTATTTATATTCTTGCGCTTGAGAACGGAGGTCTAAGTGAGACAGAGATCAAGAACACGGGTTAAAAAATGCACACAACTGACCAATATATATACTTCGAGAGTTAGGCAAAAGAGTTCCAGTTTGTCAAGGTTGAATGGACGAAGTGTGATCGAACGTACTTACACCTGCCTTGGAATTCGTTCAATGTGCAATATTCTTCTGGACGCCCGTCAATTAGTTGACTTACGATAAGAAGGATATTCAAACAGATACTCGAGCAAGAAGAAGCGTAAAATCGAAGGTAATCAATATGCCGTTTAATGCTAACATGTTCCGCTTTCGCAGAAAAGATGTTTCAGCGTGAAACTGGCGATGTTGCATTAAGACTTAAAATGTTTGGATAGAAACCCTGAGACATCTGGATGTTTGCTACTGATAGCTCCTGTCGTGTGTGTTCATTGAGTTGGGTAATTTGGTTTCCAAACGAATCGCTTAATCAACCAATCAAACAAACAAATATTTCTCCATCGAGTAAAAATGTCCCAAGCAGTACCCATATGCTTAGCGAACCTCAAGTTTCCGTGAGCCAACTGTTCAGGACGCACTGGAAAGCTGTCCACTGTGGCCACACATTGAGTGCCCGGTGGGTGACCGGAATCTGCTCAAAGGTATGTTCTTATTATAGGTACCCAAAATGTGACGTCAGGTCACTGTCTACTAGGCATTCAGTGTGCTGCAGCTGTCTGGTAGTTGTTAATCGCAGCTTCCTTCCCATGCTTGGTAAGGCAGTTTCCTTCCGCAACCTATTACTGGAATGGTTGGGTTGAGCAATCTGTGCATAGCAACTTGTAGGACGGAATTGTTTAGTGTTATATAGACATAAAAAACCTCCTGAGTTTTACGAATGAAAGACGCTGGGGATCTCGTTCAACTTTCAGTGTGAAGACTGATAAAACGGGTAAGTGGAGTGTGAAGAGCGATGTCATCACTTCGCTGTTGCAACGGAGGTGCACTTAGCTACCAGAACGCCATTTGGTGAGGCAAACGAGTTGAGTGAAACCACAATGTTGATGTTGGCTTTCAAAATGAGGGTGTAATCCTCAAAGCAACAGCCAAATGAATGCGCTGAGGGTTATCCTTTGTATTTGCTGCGGTCAGGCGGAAGAAAGGCAGTGTATCTACCACGCAGTGCCGTAACACGTGCGTCCAGAAGGGAACGAGTCTGAAGGAATCAGTCGGTTGAATGTGCAGTCTCAGCGAACCTCGCTTTGGTCCGGAAGGGCATTTCTCATCCAGTGCCTTCAGTGAACACGTTTGAACGGGCAGGCTTTACTCACAGAATACCAGCAAGCTGGTAGTGTAAGACTCTCACGTTGCTTAAGTTAGTGGAAAATACGTTCCTACTCAACTCTTGTAACGTGATCGTAGACTGCTCCGAGTCAGTAAGGTTGCTTATACGATTTAGTCAGTTCTATTCCCATCCCTCGAGGTTAGAACAGTAAAATAAAACGAAACCATTAGTGAGGTATAAATAGCTTTTGTGGATGGTTAAACCTTGAACTCCTCTGTACGTTTGACTTGAGAAAAATAATTTCAAAAAGGCAACCAACATAAGCCCCTCGACGAACCGATCCCGTAGCAAGCCTCTCTCAAGAGAAGGAAGGCCTGACTATTCAATGAGTGTAGTTGAAACTGATGAAGACCTAATGCCGAAGGCGTTGCGGCAAGTTTCCCATAGAAGTGTAAACCATTCAAAAACGCACATGTAAGCTTGAACAGTGGCGAGAAAAGAAAACAACAAATGGCAACCATATACCGGACAAGTTATGGTAAAGGAACAGCAAGAATCGACCTCCACAGAGAAGCTAACTTCAACGCACAACTGTGTTTTATCGTTCGTAGGCGCCTCGTGACCGGCATGACCTTTTGGATGATTTTAAATTAGGTGTAGATTCCAAATTAACCAGAGTGCAAGTCACGTGCATATTCATCGTGGAATCGATGTCACGAGTGAAAGCAACAAACGGTGTATTGAAGGCATTTAAATCTATCAGCGAGGTTAACATAAAGGTGGGAACTAGCAGCAGTGACTCGGTTGGTGGATGCGCGTGTGTGAACACCTACCGGTTCACACTGATGAGTAGGCATAATTTTCCAACTACTGAAACGTACTTCTGCAAAGGGGTGCCAGTCATTTTTTACAGGTGAAGAAATAATCATCAAGACAATTACAAAGGTATCTGGGCGAAAATTATACGCAACAAAACACTCAAATAGCCACCTAAAAGACAAAATCAGACTGAAAAAGCAGCAGCGGTTGACCAGACGTTAGAAAACGGAAAAGTGCTTGTGGCCCGATAACACTGGATTCAAGGTATGCGATTTCATCGCTGTGTGAGCGAGTATCTTGTGTTGTGTCCGAAGATGAGGAGTGAAAAACGTTAGCAGAATCCTGGAAAAATTCCATTTTCACATTATGCTCGTTTGAATAGTCCTCCTTTTGCCCTCCCGCAATTGTTTTGGTCAGCGCACACCAAAGCAAAAGAACACTGGACTCGACTACGTTCTCATTACAAATTCTTAGCAGTGCATATTCTTGACGCTGTTGGGACTTAAAACCCAAATACCTGAAATGTGAGGCGACCATGTTACCTTTACCGTACTAGCGAATTTTAAACGCTCATAAATAGTCACGCCTGAACGGGTGAACGTATTCACAACTGAGCAATGTGATTAAAATCGCACCAGGAAAGGTGGAGAGGGACCGTTCGAACCAATGTAATGTGAACAAAAATTACACAAAGCCCGCAACTACTCACAAAAGTGACTAGTCACCCTTTGTAATATGCTACTCATAAGGTTGCTGAAAATCCGTCGACAGCCCACGACCGGCTTCGCCCTCCTTGGGGCTCATCAGGTAGGCGCAGTCCCCGGGTTTCCGTCAACCTCATGTTCTACTTGAAACCAATTTGCACGAAATTAGCGAATATACACTCGTTTGCAAACTAATTTGGTTTTTTGAGAGACTCACCTGGAACCCAGCTGAATCTCTCGTTTGTGATGTTCTCAGTCACTCTGTTCGGAATTCAGGCAATTTCCATTTATTGTATTTATTCATCCATTAGTTGGTTTTCAGTAATAGTGTCCCACAGTATCGTCGAAACGCCTGTTGTCATGATGCTAATCAACTTTTTATTTTATACGCACGGTAGAACACAGTTTGAATGATCTTTGTGCCCCTGCGAATATTCCCGTTAAAACGTTATTGGATATAACAAACCGCTTTTCGGCCCCGAGGAATAAAAAAACTCCCACTAAGACAAATAATATTCAATCATATTAGGTTGCCTCGGTACCTTGGAGGTAGGGGAATACTTTGGCTTTTCTATAAATTTATTATCTCTGGAAACTTGGAACATGGGAATATCTACACCAGCCAGGAGCGGATAGGGCTGATCATTGACATAGCTGTTAGATGTAGAGATCATGAATCGGCGAAAAACGGCTGAAACAATTATTGGTATATACAGATTACAGACTCGATACTTTATGAAACAGTGTAAAAGACGACGTTCACGAGGGCACTAACATCTAATTCAAGTTCACTAAGGAAAGTTTCCAGATATTGGGTGATAACAATTATATTGTCACCGGAGTTATGGGCAGCGCTCGCGGAGGGTACTTTCGTAATTTGATGCCTTTACGAACCAGCCATTACTGTACCGGAAATTGCCACTTTCACCTATGAAAGTGTTATAGATCCCCATTAGCTGAAGTAGGCCAAGAATAACGTCTGTTCTTTTCGAAAACAGAGAGGCACGTATCTTACCGAACTGATGTAGTGAGCCTAACGACCAGTAATGCGTAACACGTGTTGCTTTCACTTACGATTAATTGGCCCGTATCGCTACTCCGCAGGGGGCTGTCTTCTGGGTGAACATCACCAGAGAACAGGAGAGAAAACCAAAGCGGTTGTCGAAAAAAGTACAGGTTTTTGGTACCTTGCAGGGCAAACTATGACAAGGAAACCGGTCATTATTTTTGTACCAGATTCGACCAATGAAAAAAAATAACAGGTGTTCGGTAGTCTTGAGTTCTTTAGATGTTCTCTAGAAAAAAATGGAATAACGAATTCTAAATTTACAGAGCGTTGTTAGACATAAGATTTGCGTTAGTTCGGCAAAATGATAGGTCTCAAACGATGCAAGAGTCGGTAAAAGTGAAGTAACACCTAGTGTGGAGAAAATAACTCGTTTTGTTCGCAAGTTGCTGAAAACTCCTCAGTAGTCTTATGAGAAGTGTTCTCTGTCAACAAAATACACCACGATACCTCGAACACCAAACCAACCGAAATACGAGACGAACTTCGTGTGACACATTCAGTTCAAAGAATATCACAGACGATAGATTTATCCCAATTTTTCGTTAACATCAATGAAATATTCAAGTGAGTGCAGTTCGTTAATGGTTCGTGCTGTTATTGTCATCATCATCATCATCATCATCATCATCATCATCATCATCATCATCATCATCATCATCATCATCATCAGTTTTCTGGGTGAGGTCAGTAGGTTGCCCCAAGGAACAACAGGCCACTCGTCCTGCACAAGACCTATCTGTGTCGTTGCATGGCATACATCAGATTGGTCAGAAGCTAGTTGTCATTCTTTCATTCCACCAACTATAGTGAATTCCGGTTGACAGTAACTTTAACCAGACTGTGATCTTACTAAGATGGTTGCGGTGTTCCGAAAACGAGCATACCTGAATAGTGTCAGAAGTCCACGATCTAACTCGATAATCTGTCTTTAAAGGGAATAGGTTTTTTCGAACATGAATATCCAGTTGATGGCCCGGTTTCAATAATGCAAACAAAATCGGCGACCATCTAGGACCAATGCATGCATGGGGTCTGAAACGACGTTAACAGAGCCCGTATTTAGTTCGGCAGACCCGACTACTGCACAACTGGATATGAAGAAAACTATTCCTGAAGGATGATTCGTGAGCGAAGAAAAATTTCTTGGATTAATTATGTGCTGGTAGTACCCCACTGCGGTGAGAGGCTCGAATCCCAGCGATACCACTATCCCACGTTCAGGAATACCACTGAAGCTTAAGTTGGCCAACTAACTTTCATAGCCTTTCCCTAATATAATCAGGCAAACGCAAGGTTTCACGACTGAATGTAAGTGGGTGCTTTTAGCATGAAAAATTAGAAAAGTCACAGTACCATAGACTAAAGGTAGACACTTATCCGGCAACATCTGGCTACAAATCAACATAAGTACGATATCAGTAGCAGTAGTATTTGAAAAACTTCTTTTTCCAATATCTAATGCCATATGGAACATTCACTAGGTAGGCCATTACCTGAAAAAAATCGACAAAATTTCTGCTATCCAACTATCAACATGAACTTCATTAGATAATATTTAAAGGTTTCGGGGACAGAATTGGACAGAATTGACTAATAGGCAATGTTTTATTAATGATGCAAAGCCCATTCAGGTGATTCGAGAAAGCTAGAACCTTAGACTAAGTTTGAGCCAAGCGAAACGAATCTAGGATTGTATGGCGGTAAGGAACCAGTGTTCTGGCGTTGGTAGCCACCAAAGATGAGCTGCAGCAAGGTTTCACAAAGTGTCTGTTACAGGAAACTACCCACAAGGTTGCTGAAAACTCTTCGACACCCCACGACCGGTTTCGCCCTTCTTGGGGCTCAGCAGGCAGGCGCAGTCCCCGAGTTTCCGTCAAACTTAAGGTTTACTTGAACCCAAATCGGACTGCTTCCGTGAGTAGACTCCTTTATGAAAATATACTGCGATATCTCGATATCTCAACTGAATTATGAGGTGGCCTGTGTGCAGCACACTCAGTTGTAGAATATCATAAACGAGAGAACCAAAGTGTCTGTTACAGGTCTTCGTGTTTCGTATGGGTTGGGTTAAGAGAGTGACAATCGGAGTTGGGCTAGATTACAACTTCTAACATTGGTGACTCAGCTTGGAGCCAAGAACCCTACAAAACATACGTGGGCTGATCCATAAGTTAGACAGCCCCAACCCATCAATCATTTTTAGACTCGTGTTTTCGGTTATTTTTGCCGCCTTTACAACTATTCATTGTGGCTAGTACTGTGCGGAGAGCGAAATGTCCGGTCACAAATTCATCGACAAATTTCCGAACATTTCTGGACATGCTTTCCGATTGGACACTGCAAGAAAAGGTTTGAAGTTGCTAGGGGGCGGAAAAATAAGCCGGTATGAACGCAAACTTCAGATCCCATTAATACTTTGACCGAGAGCCCAACATCCCTATGGAGTCTAAGAGGGCTTGCATTTACAGCAACCGCCACCAACCGCAAGGTAATGTGAAGTTCAGTTTGTTACCTACGGTTGGATAAGAGACCGCACGCCAGTGTACACACGAGGCTACTTGCGGAAGGCTACCAATCAACTAATCGAAAGACCCGCAAAAAAAAACCGCTCCCACAGAATGCGAAAGACGGCCAGGTTCAGCTGTAGATGTTGAATGGGGAAATCCCCAAACGATCGTAATTTAAAAAAAATCACTCGTTTTAATTCTTGGACTCAGTTAGAGTAAACAGGTTCCTCTCTCTACTGTGACAAAGATATGTACAACACTACCCGTTTATCTTTGTTCAGACTCGTAATTTCGGCATTCGGTAATCTAGACAGCGATACAGCAAGTTATCCGTTTTCTCAGGATTAAAAAGGCTACTGAAACAGATACTGAAATGCCTGATGTGCTGTGGAATATCCGCCAGTGCAATGACGAATCGGGAACACGCAAAGAAATCATTTGTGACCGTTGTGAACTGCCGAGTACTTATTGAGTAGTAGCAACCAGATTTACCAGAGCGAATGAAATTTCGAAGGTTGTTCAGTCCGACATGATAGTGAGTCGTACTTTGATGTCGCACCTATTCGTTTCATCCGATACCGTTTAGTGTAAAAAGACACATTCGTGACCAGCAACAAAGAATACAATAGCATACCAACACTTGACACACGTCACATAGAGATGGAAGCACGGAAAGCTGTGGTTCAACAAACGTTCAAGATAAGTGGTGTATTTCTACCCGAGACAACGTTCGCATTGACTAGTAAAATTGGACAATCCCGATGAAATCCACTCGTGGGTGATTTATCCCTTTTTATCGTGAAAGGGTGATGGAAGTGTGACTGTGATGGGACTTCTAAGATTGGAGAGACTTCGCTGGGTATGGAAGGGTATGGAAGCTGAGACAGTGATTTTACCAGCAAATGTGACGAACACTCAACGAAATGGGCAAGTTTTTCAAAAAGAAGCGAGCATCTGTTTCGAACATAAGTGATCAGGAGATGGATTAGTGAAAACCTGGAGAAAAACAGCGTTCTAAAGCCACAAAACTATGCAGACGTTTGAAAGAACATGCAACCAGCCAACCACGTTGAACACCAGTCGGCAAGAAGAATTGAGAAGAAAAGGTTGCCCACCATAAGCGCATTCTGTTTGCAGCCATGAGGATGCTTGTTCTGGAATAACCGCATCCCCCCACCTGACGAGCCCAAAAGTTCCCTTAACAGTGGGGAATGCTACGCGTGGTGGGCAATTTCACCAGTGTTGAAGCACATCGCTCAATCCAAACGGCGAGAATGTTAAGAATTTCCTATTTTCGTTCCAGACCCAAAAGGTAACGACAAAATTTTTACGGGAAAGGTTGTGCAAAAAAGTGCTACACAAAGGGCTGTTGTAGATATGATACCAGTATTCTGAATTGGTTACTTTGGTGGGTGCCTACTCTTCAGTTGAGGTGATGTATGTCCAAAGGAATGAATTCACATGTTGGAACACAAACAACCTGATATCACCATTTAGTGAGCAATTGGTTGGATGTTTTCCAAGTACCATTACACTGTCTTTGCGGAGATAGACGTAGAATGATCGGAAGGATAAAGGAGTAAGTAATGGAACTTTAGCAGGTGTTTGTTTCGCATAATACGGCGCTGGAAATGTGGTCTTGGGGTCATCATATCTTATGACGGAAACGGACAGTAAAGTAGCGACTGCTTTTCTCGACCTAACAATACACTACTTATAAGGCTATTGACTACTTTTGGTGGTCTTTACGATGAATATGCTTTTCTCACTAATTGAAATTGATATTGGGTCGCAGAGGTGCTCATACTCAAAACGTTTTCGAGGCAAACAGAAAATCCGACGGCTCGCTTCGAAAAGCAAGATATGAACGAATGAAAACATGTAAATAGCGCGTTGTCACCAGAGACTCCAAAGATCATCATCATCATCATCGACAGCATGACATCAGTGTTCAACACCGATGCTTCACTGCCGTATAACCATGACAATTCATGGTTGTACGTGGGCTGGGATACTGCCAGGAGGACGATTAGGATCCCCATCTAAAGCCTGTGGCTCAAAAGCCCAACCGCAAGGCAGCGGTGTTTGGCGGGGAATGCAAATGCATTACCTTTTCTGTGAAACAATCCGCCACATGTTCCATCCCCCAACCTGGAGGGCCAGGAGACTGTTCGTCAGACCTCTAACCATTGACCAACCTGGTGTGAGAGACTCTGTGAGTGTCGCGGGACACTCTCCAGTATAGCTCAATGGATCGCTGAGGTGCGCAAACCGTCACACCAGTTTCTTCGTGATGGCGACTCCAAAGAAACAGTAATCATAACTTCCGAAGAAAATAAAAAAACTGTAGTATTACCTAAACGGTATTGATATATGAGACAAACCCAGTCAGAGAAAATCGGATAGTTTGTCGGAAGACAAAGGTAAAACTAAACCAATGATATCGCGTCAAAAGCCATTACCCCCTCCCCTTCCCCACAATACAGTCTATCTCCCGCAGATGCCAAAATGTCCTTTTTTCCGCGATGGTTTCACATCAGAGGGATGATTATATAACGATAACAACAAAAGCACTCACTTTGAATATCTTGCTTGAGGTCTGCTTGGTCAGAGGTGCTAAGTCGAGATCGAGAGGAGAAACGACTAGTTGTTTCAGGAACCTTCCGCTGCTCTTCAAGTTCGCTTTCCAGTCTTTCTACGCGGGCCAATAAATCGGAACGTTCTTTGAACAAGTGGTTAATTTGAGAATCTGGAAATCAACAGAACAAAGACAGGCCATGAGGGGGATCGAAAAACTACGGGAACCAAATTCATGGAAACACCCGTGGTCAGTCCACCGAACGACTATATTCCAGACATTAAAATAGGGATCAAGAATTCTACCGTTAAACACGTAGAATGTTCAGACTTGTTTGTGGGACGTCAGTATATTCACTCGATCCATTTCTAATTCAATGAGTCAGTTGGGTCGGGTCTTGGCCGGATCAATCAGCTGAGCCAACAGCCAAACAGCATCGGAACACAAAGCATAATGAAAGACAGAGTTGCGACGCCAAAAGCGAATGAAAAGATCACTATCTCTTTTGGTTCGGTGTCATTTTCGCTAGTCTGAAAAATGTCACAAGCACCGATCCTTGTCGTCCAGGCAGAAGGGTCAGTTTGATAGCGAAATGTAGGTTAGCGAAGATGAGCTGACAGAAAATTAGTCGAAACTAAACAGCTCGGGTGAACGGTAGTTCGGTGAACTTCAAACTGCTTAGTTAGTTCTCAGGTACCAGCTGCACGTGAATTGTGGACGAACAGTCTATAACGACGGTCCGGCTGAGTGAAATCCGATGCCTCTAAGGACCAGAACAAAAAAGGAAAGTCCACCTGGTCGCTAGAGTAAACAGTAATCTAATTTTGAGGATCTTCCTTTCTACCGACTTCATACAGGGTACACATAAAACAAGTCTAGCGCAATCAGGTTAGATTCGTCCATTAGTTGACATGTACGACCAACTGAATGCTACTCAATCCATAGTTTTACTGTTTGGTTTTAAATGTATCCGAAGTCTTATTTCGGTTGAACAGTGTGTACGTTTAAAAAAAAGTTTAATTTGAGAAGTACCCTCAGTTACAAATTACATTCGTGTCAAGCAGGGACGCGAACGAATCTCTCGTCTGTGATACCCAGAATATCGTGTCAACAGAAACAGGAGGTGGCATTCGGGCACAGCCCATTCAGTTGAAGAATACCATAGACGAGAGATTCATCTGAGTCTTTCGCTAAGACACGAAATTTATTACACGAAATTTATTACAACTTGGTATCCAAGTTTACCATGGGGCTAATGAGCCCCAAGAACGGGGGACTGCTTCCAACAGTCGAAGTCTGATCTATTCGTTTGCCAAAAGACAGGCCATTATTCAAGATATCTATAAAATTATTGGCATTGATAGAAAAATGAGCCTATAAACCGAGCTGCGTGTGATAACTGGCAGGCGCGCACATCTAGTTCTACAAGTTGCAACTCCGACCGTATAATCAACATCGGTAAAATCAAACGCACTTAATGTGTTTAGAAAATGTGGATTACACAGTGACATGGCTGGAGTGCAATCACGAGGAACCAGGTACTAACACTGAACTTTCGGTACTAAGTAAAGCTTGTATCAGGATACCATAACAAGTTCCGTCAGTTCTGAAGCTTAACGTGCCAAACGTGTGAACACTTAATATGAATGCTGCACTTCTGGGGAAGAAACAATGTATGGACGGAACATAAGTTAGTTTGCGAATGAGTGTGGTTTTTGGATCATCGGTACAGTCGGTGACAGATTCCATCAAACCTGTGCTTACGGGCCCTATCGGAATGGTGGAGAGTCGTTGTGTAAAGAAAACACGGATTTGTAAGGGCTGATCAACAACGACCATTGTAGATAGTTATTTGCTGTAGAGGCACTTGACTGTATGATGCAAGTAGCTACATACAAACATATGTACAAAAGTACTACTCGGCTCCAAAACGAGCTTATATCCAACATTGTTGCCCTCTGAGACCATCCTATTGGAGTATACGACTGAAATGATTACGGGGGAGCCGAGTGTACGTGATTCCTATATGAGAGCTTATTGAATAAGCTGATATCAAAAGCTTTCGTCCAGTTCTAAGACCGTATGTTCAAACACCGTACCTGAAGGTTGACCTACGGCAGTTTCTAAAATGTCAAACCAAAGGAGCCACTGTAACCTAGTTAGATGCTTACACAAAGTGAATGGGGCTGAATTGGTGTCGGTCCCTTCTATTGTGAAGGCTTTTTCGACCAACTTGTTGCTACTCCCTTGTTTCGTTACGGTTTCGCCTACGGCTTCCAACCTAAGTGCAGCATTTCTCAACACCTCCAAGGTAAGCAGTCTAGTAAGCCAGGTTCCAATCATTAGGCCTATCAAAATGTTTGTAACAGCGAGAGTCCCAGTAAGTGCCGCGGCAGTGTTTTCCACAAATAATGCGGCAAGAAAAATCTGGCCTGCAAGTGGTAAGGATACTGGATTGTCAACGCTTTATCTAGACGATCAATTTCATGATACGCTGCTGTAGGGTCTTGCTTCCAGTGACAGTTAGGCACTTCGTCAAGAGTCGAGATGGATCTGAATGCGAACTTGAAGCTGCTAAATAAAGTTGACATATTGGTGAGGTTGCGAAAGGTGAAGCCGTCACGATATACGGAAAGCAGACACCGTTCAACCACCCTATTTCCCAAATCTGTTACCTGCCGATAAGACAGCCACCTCTCTCGGCCCGGTTGATGTCACAGCCAGTTTACTTGAATCTGCAAATATAGCAGCTGCTAATTTGACGGATGGGGAGCCACGTGTACAGCAAAAGCCAGATCCATGGATGCAATCATTTGGAAATTGTTCGTCATACAATCTAACTTCCATTCGTATTCACTAGAGTTTATCGTAATAACCTGAAGCAGGCGCATAACTTTCTCAGGCAATCGATTCGGTGTCAACTGAGGAACCCGAAAAATCGTTCAGCTGTAAAACCCTTCCGGTGCCTAGCTGCTATGCCACCCGAGGGAAGCACGAGGGCTGGCATACTGCCAGGTTGCCCAAGCCTAGACAAGGGAAATCGAGAGGCAGGGGTTGGGTTCGCACCACAGACCTTCAGGTCAGTCAATTCACGTCCTAACCACTTGAGCCACTTGAAGAGCCAAAGAGGAGATCAGTTAGCTATATCCACACCACCATGGAAAGGGGACTCAACACTGAGAACTCGCACAAGATAACCCTGTCTAGCAGGAAGTCTCTCTCGTCATAATGCTCAGTGAGCGAAAGTTTGAACTAAATTAACGGCTCCTACCTAACAAATGCGAAAGAAAAGGAAATGGACGCTGATAGACACTCGATTCGTCTTCCCTCGACTAGTCCCCCTGGAATCTACCTTCAGTGTGTAGCCTGCTAAGGACGAGAGTGAGCAAGGTAATAATGTGCAAGTCGTAAGGCCAGTAGTTGAATGTAAAGTCTGGCTACCAAGTTAAAATGGAAATCCTGCTAGAAAACGAAGTGCGCATATTTTGGTCGTCAGTTATATTACTGAGGTGTTGGTAGCAGAAGTTAGACTTTTCTAATCAATCTAAATCTGCACGCTGATGGCACCGGTAACTGATGGTCATGATGGCAGTGATGATGATGATGATCCCAAATGACCATTGTATAACAACATCGAGCAAGAAGCAGAACTGCGGAATCGATGAGAGTGCCAGCGCGGCTACCTCAGTCCACTATTCAACCGATTGTGAATGCGATAGTGATTTTGTACTTTATGGATCAGTGGCTATTCAGACCTACAGATACGTGTAGGTCGAAGTAATTAGACATGACGCAAGCAGGACATGCAACATGCGAAGTTAGAAACAGAACGCGCCGTTGGTCACTTGTCTGTGGGTACAAAGCTGTAACACGAAAACGACTGGCATTAATTGGGCCAATAAGTCCAAACCAGAATGTAATTTGATGCTCCCCAAGTAGCGCGCGTAGGCAGATTGTTTACGGGTCAGTGCGACGCCAAGTCGGAAAACAATGACCAACACAAATTCATCGTTTACCACCACATACAATGAAATATGCGAAAAAAACTCCGAAATGTCCTCAGTAATGAGAAAGGTGTCGTTATAAGTAAGCACATAGATACCGGACCCAAAATAGGAGCGGACGCCCTTAAAACCAGATAAGAGCGTTCGCTTTTCATCGAATCCGTCTCTCCATACTATGATATCCTGCCCCACATCACACATACCGGCTCCTTACTCACTGTTAAATAATACTGCAGCGACTACTTGTTAAGCGATACTGATGAAAGGACTCATGCATACTCAGGGGTTAACAAAACAAATGCCATTCTATTCTAATATGACGTAATGGAAGTTACTAAGTGCTGGAGATAATAAAGTACGCTAACACTTCGCAGAGAATGCAGAAATCTCCCAAAAATTGTTCCACTCGTATAAGGAGAGGATGCATCGTCAGAGAGTCCATGATCAAATTCCCTTCCCTTGAAATAGGTTGCTCACGCAAACACTTCCGCCTAGATGGCGGCCTCCCTTGGGTGTGGGTTACAAATTAGTGAGGACAAACTAACAACCTGATTAACAAACTTCCGGGGATAACCTAAACTGCTCCTGTTCTACGTCTCAAACTCATTTCCGTCTTCAGTCTGTTTGTGCATTAAACTCAGCATTATTTTCACTTTTTCCGCTTTCTATTTCACAGGTAAAACTCTGAACTGAACACTGTCAACTTTCTATCTTATCTAATCACATCTTGTCCCTAATATCGATTTTCCGCACCTGCGTAACCCGCCTCCATTATATTCGTTTTTTTTCATGCATTGGCTTTTACCAATTAGGGAAAAGGATGTCCCGAAATCGCATGCACTCTAGCGATCCCATGAAACCGCTGTTTGTTCTCCACACGGGATTCAAGTTAATCACTGGGACCAACGGCATCATCAAACTATCGAAACTGGGGTGAATGGAAGGTCAATCCTGCAGGGCAAAAAGGTGCTTACAAACACGGTATCCAAAGGATGGATACAGAAACCTTGTCAGAGGCAGAGGAAACTCTCACACCACAAATAAATAGCCCTGCTGAGTTTTGTTCGTCAGAATCTCTCATTTTTAATGAAAGCTAAGAGTCAGTTCTCCCTTTATGCAAGCCCTCCACAATATTATCACGAACCGACAACGTAAGCTAACAAGATTCGGATGGTGCATTAGTCTTGTAAGCAATGTGGCCAGTTAATCTTTGCTGATGAATTCAAACATATTCGTGCCACTTTAATATCGATGTCTCGATAGGAATAAGCTACAAGGACTATTACAAGGTGATTATAAGGTGCTTAAATAAAAACCCATGTGGAATCAACCATTACCGAGTGTGGTTTCGGGCAGTGTGCGTAAAAGTTCGGCAGTTGTCTTCGCGATTAGTGCCATCGAGGGGATACAGGGACCAGTCTCATTCGGCAACCCATTGACCAAGGGTTTTGATGGGTGGTCCGAATGGCCGTTGGTGACCTGTTTGCTCGGTCGCTTCTTATCGATGGGTAAATTGTTCTCGGAACCTGTCGTGTCTAGTGCGGCAGTTGGGGGAGCAAGGTCGTTCATTTCGTTGGCATCCAGGAGAATTAGGTTGTGCTGTTGGATCAACTCATCACGAGCTTCAATTTGCTTCCGAGCAAATTCCAATCGATTTGTCAGTTCTGTGATTTGAAGTCGATGGTACGCCAGATCCTGATAAAAGTGGTATGATCATAGGTTATTTGAAACTACAGATTCTCAGAAAAATTCTGTTATGAAAATTGAAACATTAAGTGTAAGTGGACCCTGCTGACGTGTTTACTTTGTGTAAACGACGAACTCCCAGTGGGCTTTTGATTTGAAGTCTGGTATGGGTGCACTTACCGTGCAAGGTACTGAAAAGAACGAACTGAAGATCACGAGGAAATGTAATCCTCAATTTGACTGATAAGTTGCAACAGAAGCAGGAGGAATGATAGGATTCGAAGAACCCCATTAACACTGCAGAATCACGAAACACAGGAATGGAATCAATCCCTGAGTAAACAAACGTCCAATGGCATAGAAATGCTGAACTGCTGTACAACAACGTCGGAAGTTTAAATTATTCCAGAGGATTTTTGGGTACTATCGGTATACAACATGAAAACGGTATACACAAAGTAAGAGTTATTCTGGGCCCTTCTGTTTCATAAATGAGAATAGATTTGGAGTGATCCCCTCAAGATAGGATAAGGCCTAATTCTAGTAGTCCAATTGTGAAAGGAAAAGCAGAGAGTGCAACAATATGGTGTTGAAATGGGGTTGAGAAGTTTGTCTAACCAAATGGTTAGTTCAAAATATACATCAGTTTTAGCGAGATACACTCATTTGCATGCCAATTTGTTTTTAACAGGAGACTAACTGGGAGACTAGCTGAATGTGGGCGCTCGAACGAGAGAATGACAGCCACACCCAGCGGCGGAACACACAAGATTTTTCATATTTTCGTAGGTAGTACCTACTGACATGACTGTTTTAACTAAGTACTGTCCGCTATACCAGTGAAGACCTCCTGACTGGACAATAATATAGCTCCGGATAAACACATTGACATTCTTCGGAGCGCTTCTGGTTGCAATACCAATGGAAGGCAAAAAAGCTACATGACGGAGTGAGTGAAACCATTGTTTCCGTTGTTACATGATAATAATAATAGGCTTTCGCGATAAATTATTCTAGTCCAGAGAGATGGAATAACCATAGTTCGTGAGAACCTAGAAGGCAGGAGTTGACGATCGACATAGCTGCGGTTAGATAAGATGTAGTACCCAACCGACTAAGTGATGACTTCACTGGAACGTATTTACATTCAGTCACAGCCTATGGAATTTATTCGTATCTGGTCAAACTTGATGGCACCGGATGTCTGTTGAGTAGTGAAGAGACCAGTTGACTAGGGGTTCATTCAATCCAGTTAATTATGCGTCGGTGGGAGGCCCTGAGTTCAATTTCCATAGTCATCGTTTCGGTATTTGTGCTAAAGCTCCCGATTCAATTCAGCGTGCGCTAAACGTATAACCCCAGAGGAAAATGACTGGGAAAAGAGGCCAACCCAAACACGATCCACAACAACGTTCGTCCTTCTACCGCTTAGTTTTCGACCCTCACCCGGAAAAAATTCAAACATTTCTTTACCTCCAGTGGTATTTTTTCAGGGGGGTTGGTGTGCTGCTATCTTCTACACAAATAAAGTTTTTAATTTCTACTGTCCCATTTCCTTAATACTTTCCAGGTCTCCGACACAGAAATGACCTTTCAGCATGAGAACCAGCGGAGCTAGAACACATCCGGTGGTTACATCTTAATGACCCTTATCACCAGTAACCTGCAGGTATTACCAAATCACAATCTGGTAATTGGATTATAAGGATGCATTTCTTCTAACAACTACAAGAGTAACCAAACTGAAGAAGTCCATACAATTACCCACGATAAACCAATGTGGTTTGGGCTCTATAGAACCCAAAAGTCACTATAGGACTGGAACTATCACAGTTCCCTCCTATAATTCAAACCAATAGTTGTTTTGGATATGTGAACGATACCAATGTTTGCCTCATTATGGGGATACTTGGCTGATGGTCCCTTGGAACCCTCCATAGCAAGTTCATGTGAACCTCATGTGTTTAAGTGTGATGCGGGCATTCTGTGTGATACCCAAGATGATACAGCAGCCGTTCGATAAGTGGGAAGTCAATTCGCCTCGGTGGCATTTGCCCTTTTCTTTGCCCCTTGTGTGCTTCAGTGTCCTAGTAAAAATTTACCAAGGTCCACTTCCTTTTAGATCAATAACGAAGCTACTTAGCCCAGTGATGAGTCGACCCGGATGCAATAGCTGATATCTGTCAGGCAGAAAGTCACATGAGAATGCTGTGGTCCGTCCTAAAAAGGCTTAATGAGTTAGCCAAACTATTCAGCCAAGAAATAGTTCACTCGTGTTCGAAAAAAAAACCCAACACAGTTCAAGTAAAGTCCAGTAAAATGGAACCGCCTATTGCTGAAAACAGAATCCAATTTTGATGTCTGCTTTTCGAAGACATCACAGGACATGCCTCCACATATGTCCACCCGCCGCCACTCCACTACACAACGGAGAGGTAAGCTAGACTGATGGTAAGACATTAGTGACCAAATCGTTCATCCCATGGAACAAGGTAATTATTCTGCACTGCGTTCCACTGATTCACAAGTGGGACCTTCCTGTGCGTAAGTTAAGCAGGAAGACAAAACACCTGGTGTTACACTGTAACGAGGAATGATCTGTGCCAAACAGGGCAGTTGTCGACGCACTTCCGCTGAAGAGGACACAAACATCAGCCGCTCTAACGACTGAAAAGACGGCAGGATTGATGTGGAACACGTCAAAAGCTCGAGCAATTTTTCCACAAATCTGTTTACATTGGGCTGGGTTTGTGGTTCACACCATTTCCTTGTCACCTGATAGCAGATTTAATGTCCAGTAAAACATTTCTATACCTTACAGAACTGAAATAGGGATTTTTCGATAGCACTGTGGTGCACAGTAAGTGCACGTGCAAGATCGTAGAACCCGGTTCAAGAGAAAAAGCAATGGTGCGTGCGGAAAAGCACACAAAACTCTGTGATAAGTGATACGTTGGAAAAGCAGAAAATTTTTTTCTGCGGCGAATATTAACCAAGTATCGACATGAGTTTAACGAGTGAAGAAAACGGTCGGAATTAACGAAATACACTCATTTGCAAACTAATTTGGTTTTTCGACAGACTCACCTGGAACCCAGCTGAATCTCTCGGTAGTGCATTACAAAAATATATGTGTATCGCGATATCTCGAATATCGTAGCGACTGAAACATGATGCGGCCTGGTGCAGCACATTCAGTTGCCTGGAAACATCAAAACCGAGAGATTCAGCTGGGTTCCAGGTGAGTCTGTCGAAAAACCAAACTAGTTTGCAAATGAGTGTATTTCGCTAATTTCTGCAATTTGGTTTCAAGTAGAACATAAGGTTGACGGAAATTCGGGGACTGCGCCTACCCGATGGGCCCCGAGGAGGGCGAAACCGGTCTTGGGCTGTCGAGGAGTTTTAAGCAACCTTATGGGTAGTGCGTTACAAAAACAACCGGAATTTCAATGCAAGTTAAACGCTCGTAACCGAAACTACTGACACACGCGTTATGATGGTCATCGGTTCTGAATGAAAACGAAGAGGAAGGATGGACTAATAAATTCGGTTGTCGAGCAAGCCGACGTTATAAGTGAACCGAAAACAATAAAAAACGTGAGGAAATAGGTGAAAACCATGGGCAAGAAAACACAATCGATTGACTTAGTATTATTATGGACGTGTGTTTGCGTGCCAGCAAGTTTACGAACGATGGAAGGTCGACGTCAACACTCCATACGCACATGCACACAAAAGTGGGAGGAGTCCAGCTTCGTCTGCGAAAACACCAAGTTCCTGATAAGAGACACATGAAACATAAACGCGGAGGGTGTGGTAGGAAATACCCCGATCTGTTTTGCTTTCCGCACAGTGAATCAGAGTGGAAAATTAATGGACCAAGAGGTCACTTGGTAAGGATTTCTTCCAACTTCGAAAGCACCTGAGATACAAATCCTACAGTAGCATAGTAAAAAAAACTGAACCACCACTGGACGTCAGTTGATGATTTTTAGGTATTGAGGGCACTAGAATGGGTAGTTGTGGAAGGCAAAAACTAAGTTTAGGAAGAAACACGTAACAACAGTCCTTCGAAGAGCCAACTTTGCTAGGATCGCCTGAAAATAGCCTCCCAAGTGTGGGATATTGTAGGAAATGCATTTCACTTGATAAAACATCTACAGCTATTAGCTCTTATTAGGAAGAAATGAATTTTGTTGGCCAGAGTAGACGAAAGGCGGGACAAAATTGGCTTGATATATTCGTCCGCTACTATCTCTGGATAGATGAGTACTCTCCGGAGAATGGATTCTCTTCTGGGGGGTCTTTAATGGGGAAGGGACGAAGCCTCATTCTTGATGAAAGACTGATGGTGGACAAAAATAGTACGAAGGTAGTAGACTAATGAAGTTGGACACGAAAATACTGTGAAAATACTGTAAAACCCTCGGAACTACAGAACGGTGAGAGATTCGTGCCAGGTTTTAGGCAGTTCCAATTGAGGAGATCGTTGAAAGCAGGTCAATCAAGGGGGCCGATGGGAACAACGGAAACTACCTAGGAAGCACAAAACAGATGATTGGCGTTGCTGATCAATTTCGTCAAGAACCGAAGGTGCTAGCGAACAGGAACAGTCGGCTGCAGGAAAACAGTAACCATCTTGATGAGCTCCTGCACTTAGGATAAGTTTATCTTCATCAGTGAAAAAAATAACTGATAGACGTGTGGGAGTGAGGAGCACCCACTGAAAAAGCCGCTCTCCTAGATGGAGATCACTCCTGAAAAGAAACTACTGAGTGGTTCCTCGAAATTCCACCCAACGAATATATCCCTCCTAGAAGAAGCTATACTCGGTCGGTCACTCCGGGTGGTCCCCTACAATGAGACGACTGTATCTGAGATACGGGTATAAATGCGAGTTGTAAACGTCCCTCTGGTAAAACGAAGGGCTTAGACGACAATATTGGAGAACAGCTAGCTACCCAGGTTGCCTACTAGGAGGAGAAATTTACCCGTATATTTACTTGACAAATTGAATCCAAAAGCACTTATGCTCCTGTCACGGTTATCTGGCTGCTCGTATTGAAGTTACCGGTTCCCCAAAGTGACTCGTTTACAAAGCGCCGATGATGTGCCAATAACTATTGAGTTCACACACAATTTATAGACAACATACTCGACATATTTTTCACCTCGAAACCTGGTAGTAAACCATGGATGTTATCGAAATCGAAGATTTACTTGAAGTCATTCTACTGCTAATATCACACGGAGAAACCGTGTGAGTACAACAATTTCTCCATGAGTGAGAATTTAAAGGTAGGCTGAAACCATGCGTAACCTGCAATGGGGTCCCGTCGGCTGCGACCGATTGTGTAATAACACACGAAAGACAGGTCATCGCCCAGCGCATCTCTCCTGAAAAGGTGGCTATGGAGAGATCTCGAGTCTGGAGGCGATGGCTGGTTCTAGCTTGCTGGCCATGTTGAACCCTCGAAGAGTATAGAACCGAACAGTAGAGTGTGAGAGGCAGGGTGTTAGGACCAGGTACTTGGCGAGAGTGTTGATGGCATTGTCTGAGCGCATTATCTAGTCATTAAATGCCAGGCGTTGTTCACGCCTAGATCAAGCGGAACGGGAGATTGAGGTTACTGTTAGGGAACAGCACTATCCAGAATATGAGCAAAATATTGTTATGTGAGAACTATTAGCCTCCATGAATGGTACAAGAATTCAGGTGACCAGCAGTTTGGAATTCGATTAATAAAACACTTCGCAAAACATCTTTCGCGTATTTTATCCTAACCGTGTTAGCTAGGTCAAACGATATGTCTGGTTCTTGATCCTTAAGTGGACCAACAAGCAGGAGAAGTAGAGCTTTCCTATGGACATTCGCTTCTTGGGGCAAGATAGCCATTATAGTACCACGAAAGAGGCACCAGAATCACTCAGTTGAAAAAAATCCAGAAAGGAATATGCAAACGAAAAACGTATATATAGCTCGGTATATAGCTCCTCGAAGGTAGGTAAAAACTGAAGCCGACTGTCAACAACACACTTGGAGGCAGCAATCAACACCCATCAGCGTTTTCTTCGCGATGTCTCTGACTGAGGGCAAGCATACACTGTAAGCTTGTGCTTTTCGTTCACGAATGTTGAATGTAGGATGGTGGACCCACATAACGAAAGACGCTTCACTATGCAAATTTTGTTTCTTACAAGAGTTACTCAGTGTCAAATGTGTGCAGCCACGTGCACCGGACGACGGAAGTTTGAGGCAAACACACAGGCCTGTTTCTCCGTGAGAAGTATCTGTGGAGATCACGGGTTTCAGCACGAAACCATTTGTCGGCTGTGCCAGCTAGCGGACTTTAACAGCTGTTTGGAAAGTTGCATACAGTTAGTGATACGAGGGAATCAACTACAAGTGATACTGAGTACCTTAATGGCCACGGTGTCCTACATTGTCCATATCTAAGTTTCGGGACACAAACTCGACGTCTGAGATGGGACATTTTGTGAAGGAGCAGAATTTGCATGCCCGTTACCCTCTTGAACATCCATTCATCAGTTTTGTGTCAGTAACGGGGCAGCACGAGGAACTTTAATATAAATCAGCATCCAGCCAGACCACAAAAAATCCAACCAAACTGGCCGTCCGCCCATGGGTTTAATCGATTTGCTGACAATGCGAGTGAAATTACATTTCTAAGAATAGTTTAGCTAGAAGGCCATGTGCCAGGTTACAGCGGACAGACAGAGAAGCGTAGTGATATGGTATGTTTGGTTTACAGATCGATAGGTAAGGTATGCACACCGCTTTCATTAAACTTTTTTCTAAACAATTTTCATAAACAGCGTTGAGTGAACCATGTATTGTGAAGATCCACTGATTCTGCACAAGGTGGCGTGAATGTGTGGTGTATGAGAAAAATGATATCACTGAATAAAATAAGGCGATAATACACTGAGGAAAGTCACTCAAGGATGGAAACCGAGGAAAAGTGATGGTTAGAGAACGGGAATAACCACGACCCGGTCGTATATGTTGGTCGAAAAGGAACCACTGGGTGTCTGCACACAGTTGGATAAGCAAAAACAGCTCGCGGTGCTGCACACAGGGCCTGGACGTTGGTGGAAATCAGAAATGATAAGGTAGGCGAGCAAACATACACACAGGCTTATTGTAAGTCATCAGTCGGCCTAAACATGATAGTATAACAATGAGAACTGACACTTGTTTATCGAGGAAGCACGAGTATCATCCATTCATTCCTAATTCAGATGATTGTATTCTTCAGTTCAGAGAAAGACTGCTTGTGATGCAGCACTAAGGAGGATTGTGTTTGGAAGCTTCTAACACATGCGATGATAGCATGCTCCAGAACTCTATGTCAAGTGTCAGATTCTCCCACCATCTAAAACGAAAGCTACAAATTCTTTCGGAGATTCAGGTATGTCCGAAGTTGTAGATTAGTGGTTTCAGGATGCGACTTCAGATAATTCGCCTCAAATGACCCAACCAGAGAAGCTGGTTCCGCCTCAGGCTATATTTAATTCCAACAGTGTCTGTTTTCCGAAAGGCTTTGATGCTTAAGACCCGGTCTGTCCATTTTGTCTGAAAAACGTTGCGCAAATATTGCGAGTGAAAGGATAAGCAATGCTGAAGTACATCGAATGGTATTCGGGAGAAATAACTCAAGCTCAATAGATGAATTGATCACACTGCATGGGTTGCGTTGGCTTGGCCACGTGCTGCGTATGCCGGTCGAATGACTTCCTCGGAGGGTTCTTTTCGCACAACCACGAACCAGAGGCGGTCAAACAACGACTTGGAAGCAGAGCCATTACCAGCAAACTCAGCTGCGCTGGTCACTGCCGTCTTCCTGGATGGGGACCAGGAGACGGGACACATCAATAATTAGAGACATTGTTGAACATGAAAAAGTCGCACCCTCAATGACGCTCGTGCATCCAAGCTGTTGCATTCAGTGCACAGATCCCTTCTCAATTCCCCCAATTAACAGTCTACCGACAGCGCTGTATTCACGCACCAATTTGTCAGCACCCGCCTGCGCAATTACCTACCCCACCTCCCCAAATCATCGGTGAACGAAACTGTGGCAGCTACACCCTACGACCCAATTTGTCAGCACCCGCCTGCGCAATTACCTACCCCACCTCCCCAAATCATCGGTGAACGAAACTGTGGCAGCTACAGCTACCCTACGACAAATACGCGCTTCTTATAGCTGACAATGATGATGATGCAAGTGAAATCGGTCAAGTACTTCAAAATGCCGCCTGTAAAGTATTCGCATTACGTTACCGCACAGTAGTGAAGACAGCACAACAGACCGATATACTACAGCCGTGGTTGTATCCGTGAGCGATAAGTGCCCCAGATATGTGTCTCAAGGCGACCAAATGCTATACCAGCCTTCGTAACTCAGGCGTTCAGTTCAATTCACGCGTTAGTGTACTGTCAGACAAGTAGCTCGCCACTTCCTTTAAGCAGAACACAAGGTTTATGGAAACTTGGGGACTGATGAGCCCCAAAAAGGGCGAAACCGGTCATGGGCTGTCGAAGAACCTCCAGCAACCTTAGGAGTAGTGAAGGCACTTCAGACAAAGAGTAAAAGGAGTCCGAAACGTCCAAAGAAGCAATAGTTGACGCAGTCACGTTATCAACTGTAATCACAAAGTCTACGAACAAACTCAGAACCATCAGCATCCGAGTAAATATGTAGTATGGAATGTGCACCCTAACTGTAGAGTCGGAATTACGACGATGAAAACTTGACACACCGAAGCTTGTAAAGAAAGGCAAAAAAGTACGAAGACTTACACGCTTCTTCTCAGCATACGACTTCTGAAGTGAGGAATTAAGCTCCATCATATCGTCCAGTTTATCCTTGAGGAGGTCAACTTCATAACTACCAGATGGATAAACGAATACATAGTTTTGTTTTGTTAGCACCACAAAATCGTGCAACATAGTGATACGTAAGTGTACAGTCAACATAAGAAGTTTCGAAGCTCAAGAACACTACAGCATGAAAGGTATAGTCACGAGTTAACTTGACTCAAACAGAATGAAAGCAATGGAGAACAAGATGGAGGTTCTTCAGCGACCAACGAAGAGTTTGTTTAACTTATCGACATTCTTTAGGTTTTCGTTGTTATACATACGCGAAAGAATGCAGAAAAACTCAGCTTCTGAGCTCGATGCAGGGAATATCTTCGGCACGAGAAGCCAACCGATAATCAGAAAGGACTACTGAAGGTCCAGGGCACATTTTTTTGCTTACTTCACGGCCCAATAGAAAAAACCAAGTGCAGAGCATCCAACAACATAAAGGCGTCGGGACTGTCTGCATCCGTTGACTATGTGAGGCAGAAGCGCGAAAAAGTGAGAGTAAAGAATCACTTGTTCTTTTCACTCACATCCGTCAGTTAACGGGTGTTTTGTAGCGAAATAGATCAAATCTGAATTCTTCATACAACCGTGCTAAGAACCACCAGAAAGACCATGCGCGTGTACACCTACATGCGCGTACACGTCGTAACAGTGTGGTTTGTTGAAATCGATATAGACACGGATTATCGGTTCACATGCAGAGTCAGCACAAAGGTGGCAGTGATCGTGATGGTGGCGACTGGTGAATGCGAAAAAAGCGAAACCATCAATCTAGTCGATGTTGATATTACCCCGACTTATTGATCCCATGTAACAAAAGGTAGAAAAGAACAAGAAACCACGTTCATTTGGCAGAACACACTATGCAGGAGTAATAATCCCTTGAGCGATCTGTCAGTGTGGGTCTGGTGCTCGCGAACGATGCATAAAGGATCGAACCGAATGTATCATTTGCAAATTTGAGCAAACGTGACATGAAGCGAACTGACTGTTTTGAATTTCTCCTAAAAATTCTGGGAACGGATCTTCGGGCGGAGTACAGGAAAACACAGCCTTTTGACAACTGACATAAACCTTCATATTAAAGTTGAACAGTTAATAGTACGGAAATGAGGGAACAAAATTAACCTGAGATTCAACTGGCTGCTGATCTGTTCGCCAAGCTTGGCAATTCGCTTACAGACGTTTCTTTGTCAATCGTGAGGAAGTCATCGGTGCGCGGTGGGTGGCTACTTCCTTCTTATCTACTTATGTTTACAAGGTTGTAAGAGTGTACTTGATCAGTGCTTGAACAGGTCAACAGCTATGTGGTACACAACCTACCCACGCACCCGAGTCACCAGTATTTCGATACAGTGCTAATAAAACTAACAGACCATCAATTCTACTCCAAATGAGGGCCCTGAAAATTATGAAACAACCAGTGAAAACATCCTACTCTTTCGTGACAGAGGTTTTGAAACCGGGGATTACTGGAATACTCCCGTGTCAAAGTGGTCATTAATCTAGAAAGAAATCTCTTTCCAGTCGTTCAGCCATCGCATAAGGATTAGATCTGACTCAAGGTGAAGCTCGCACTGAGTCGGAGGGTGAGACCATGAGAAGATCCCGTGGGGCGAGGTAAATCCGAGGAGCAACATACGGAATGACCGTTCGGAGAAAAACGACACATCTAACTAACGACTCAACATCCTACAAATGCAAAAGTATGAAATTTGCTTTGGTCGGCTTGAATACGGGCACGCGCCTTCAAAAACACTAACCCATAAAGGGTTGGATTTCCTTACATGGATAACGTATGGAGACAGGGCCCAAAAATATTTAGACAGTTATGGAGAGAACGTAGGAGCTAAACCTAGGAGCTAAACTTAGGTATGATGCTGCAGGCAGTTGCAGGTAGATGACTCATCAGCTCTGAGTCAGACATGAGTCTGAAATAATCAGATGGTATGCACAGCGGTCGTATTATATGAGAAAGTCTCGACATTACGAGCTGCAGCTGTTTACCTGTATTGTGTAAACCTCAGGCGTGCGAACTATTCATTCGCTGCAAGTTTGGTGAAACTGACACCTTCAAAAAGGACCGTATTTTACCCAAACCAAGGTTGTTTGGGCCGCTCCCTGAGTGAACCTACTACGAGTGTGTAGATCCATGTGACAAACAAACTACTTTACGTAAGTCTGTCATGATCGAATGTCTTCATGTATACGGCTGCTTATTTTTGGGTAAAAATCCACGGAGCGTGCAATAGAAATGTGGGAAAAACAGGTTACCACTGGCTAGATGAAAAGGTAACTAATAGATCAGTCACCCAATAACATCCGAACATGAAACCTTTCCAGTTCTCCGCCCGACAATCACCTCCTCCTTCTAGAGCGCGAAGATAACCAGTCTGGGTAACAAGTAGTCATCGTAAGAAGCTTACCGCAGAACTTGTGTATCGTTGTCAAGCTGCGCGTTGACCATCATTGCACCCTTGAATTTGTCTTCCAACTGGTTCAGTTGCATCCGCAGGTCTCGTGCATCCGCTGTGCGCGCGAATGAGCTGACACTTGAGCTGAGCTCAACTGATGAACGCTGGCTGCTGAAGCGGGAATTGCCGTTTGATGCGCCCTGGAGCATAAGAAACGGAGAAAGCATGCAAAAAGAGGTAAAGTTAATAAGTCCGCCCCATACTATCCAATAGGGATGGAGGGAAAAGGTAAAAACGAAAAGTGGAGGAACCAACGGCATCATAGAGTCCGATGTAAGTGGTGTGTTTCCGAACAAAGGCACTTACTCTGGGGCCATCGTAGCCGTTTTCTTCCTGCATAGAAGGTTATTGTGGGTGAAATATAACGCCAACCTACCTCATTACGAAGTCGTTCAAGCTCCTTCGAACGGAGAAGACGACCTTCTTGTAGCAACTGTCGGTTGGCGGCTCGTTCCACCTCCGTCTAAGGGCAGGTTGTGAGACTGAGTTAAAGATGCATACCTCTTCTGCTGCAATACCGATCGCTGAAATATCTGTTCGGCCTACATGTCTAGCGGACATTACGCGGGTTCGGATAATGCAGCTAAAATGGGCAATAATAAAGGAAGTCGAAAGTAACAGATGATGCTAAGAGTATGAGTTGGAAAATCACACCAATCCACTGAGGTAAGACACGAAAATTGTACTGGGCGCCAAATCACACTAGGTCGAACAGCTATGTGTCTAAGGGTTATTGCATAGTGTTAACTTCACACCGGTTGTCAAATGCTTTTTTTGGTGCACCTTGTGGCCAGCTGCCAAGACAGAGAATTAACTTGAGGAATTGTTTTTACACTGGCACAGCTATATTTGTGGACTGCAGCCTGGTGTTGGTTACACCAAACCTCGTAAGTAGCTCCTCTTTCTAGGACTATAGTGATGTGTGGTCTAGCTTGAGAGGGGCGACATTCCGGCTTGCTCTGTCTGAAAACGCGACGGTAGTCGTGACAGTCGGAAAGGCATCTTCAAGCGTTGGATAATTCCATTGGATGCGCAGATATCCAGTGACTATTAACTGCACGACTGATGATGTTACACGGCGAAGGATTATACATCACCTGATGCAAACGGTGCGACCACTGCAGAAGCGACTTCGATCTGATAGGTATGTAGTGCTTCTGTTTGTCAGCGATATTAGGTTCACAGGCCCAGTACGGAGTTCGCTGTTAGACATGCCACAGCGTGTTATTTGTAGGGTTTTACGACATTAATTTGAGCCCTTAATTGCTTCTCCCCTCGAAACGACAACAATGCCTAAGTCACTGAAGACCGCAATCCAGTTAGTTGCAGTACACTTAGTGCGCCGTACGAACGACTCACGATCACACCGCATGAAGCCTCGAAATGCTTTGGAGGCACAATTAGAAGGAAGGCAACAGTATTCGGATATCTTCCACTGGTAGAGGCTATGTTCCAGCTTCACCACGGCTGCCACATTTTGAGGCTCAGTTTGAGGGAAGGCGGAATGGTGCGTTGAGGACCAAGATATTTTGTATAGAAAGGGGTTAGAGTTCCTCAACTGCAAAAGATCACTTCAGGCGTTCCTCCATGTGACTACTGGGCAGGACCGTTTTCATAATCCTCTCCAAAAATGCCGGTAGAAAACACCAGTACTTCAATTTTTCACCAACTTGACTGAACTTCAGAACAGTCGACGTGATGTGAAGTTATTTTTGTAAGAATAGGTGGACTGAGATACTATGAGAAGACCCTTATCTAAGCGGGGAGATGAGTATGGCCCAAGAGCAAAACTTCCGATTCTGATCATAAAATGGCGATAGTGGGCTTGAGCCTATCAAGTTGTACAGCTCTTTGGAAACAACTCACCTGTTCAAAATCTAAACCTAGGTGACCGAAAGGCTGGGACTGATCAAATCAAACTGACACAAAGCTGCCAGTGTCATTAGGTGCGTGGGGTAAGAAGAACACGCATACTAAGCTCAAGAGGAGGAATAACAACTTCAACAGCAGGAAAGCACCTCGGGATGCTGGTATGCGTAGTCCATTCATTGGCACTGACCATATGAAACTGCTATGAGTTTCAGCTGATTTCTTTCGTGGCGTGATACACAAAGACAAGCACATGAGTAAAGAAGCCGGCGATATCAAAGAACAAGACGTCCATTGCCTGGATTATTTTAATGAGGCTGGAAACTGCACAAGTGTCAGCCATGAATTATATATATTTACCAGACGACTGCCCTAGACAACGTGCTCGTTCGGTAAAGCGATGCCGCATACACAGTCCAGTAAGGAGCATTTCAGTTCTGAAGCCAAGCACAACTACCATACGGTAGACACCACAGCCCATTACATCAGGATCATCAGATACCCTGAGTAAAGTGCGAAAAATCTGGGTTCGTAGCATATGGTTTTAGATGTATGATCAGAATGGGTCTTGTATTCATGTCTTGTAAAACCAACAGATGTCGATCAAGCGATAGCACAAGGTGTGAGCAAGACCTATCTGCTGCCAAATCTGACATAGAGCATAAAAGTTGAAAGCAGCAGCGTGGATGAGATCCCTTGTAGTCAGTAGGGAGTCATTCTGGTTAATTTACTGAGCAGAAGCTTGTTCACGGAGCAACTGTTAGGTAAGTGACGGTTAAATGATTCAGAGGGAGTTGTGCAAGGGACGTGAAGAGAGAAGTCAGTGAATACAGTGCTGTAAGAGCGAATGCTAATTCCCTGTTAACCAGGTCGAAGAGGTTTGGTTGAGGAATCCCACCTTGAATCTTTGACTCAAAAGTCTGGTCACAAAGTGGTGGGAGAGTGTCAGGTCTGCCCCGGGGACCCCGCCCATTACCTCTAGCCCAAAGGTCTGAACCACAAGACAGCGGTTGTTAGGGTTTTCTTGAGGGCCACGTCCCGGAACCAACGAGTCAGTAGTTTGCCTTGCTTGGCTGAAGTGGGCTGGCATGACCTGAGGGCGCAGAGATTCAGGCGATACTGTCTCACTCTTAATGCGGCTATGCACAGCAGGTACCTATGGAGCAGCACCATGCTCTTTGACTTTAAAAGTATTTTGACCGTATTGAGTAGTGTGCTGAGGTTCACGGCCAATAATGAGGCAAATGGAGTGTACAGTTTTCGGGGCCGACGTTTTCTAACTCGCACTCTCTCGGAGGAAGGCTGCAGCGCTGCTTCCGCAAACATAGACGCGTTGGAAGGAAATACCTTACTACCTTCAAAGCCCCACCGCAGAGGATACTGCGACTTTACTTCCAGACCGCCTCGTAGTACCGTTTCTCACAAGACGGACTAGCTGGTGTTCGCCAGATCGCTCCCCGTTGGCTTTCCTGGTATGATTGAATAGTAAGGGACAGAGTTCCAACAAGCAGAGTCCTCAGAATCATTGTAGCGCTGAACGCCGACCAACACGATAAGACAACAGCTTTATTTCGGGTGTCACGAGAGTGACGGAAAGCAATAATATCTCACGATTGAACTGCCTCTCCCTATGGCAATTTCTCCTAAAATAAAACTTTTGGTCAACATAATATCTAAGAACGAACGCATGACTCCCTGGGGAAACGTCGGCCAGATTATTGATTAGCACCGCGCTACCGATTTGAACACGAAGCGTGTGCACTTTGTCTGAAGCGTTCTGTTTCCCATATTCACAAGCCCCTGTTCACAGCGTTCAGCTTGAGGTGCGCTACGCAAATGTTAAATTTCTTGACAAGCAAACTCACAAGCTATGAAATGAGCCCGTGTCCTTTGTCTGAAGCTCCAAAACTCCAAAGTGCGCCAACAGTTCCCGGATGGAAGCACCTGCAGCACAAGCGAATACCCGTTTTCTAATCACCTCATTAATAACACGCTGACGCCATTCAAAACCAGCCACGCTTCTGAGGCATCGGTGGTCGAAGACCTGAAGAAGTCTCACGTCATCTGACAGCAGAGGTCATGTCTCGCACCCATACCACAACAGAGCGCTCACTGTGGCCTTGAGATTTAGTGAGATGTCTTTTTGATGCAACAAGTGACACAAATTAGAAAACGTGACTCGAGCCTTTGAGTTACTTTACTGACTTCATCGGACACACTTCCGTCAGAGATAATAGAACCATCGAGGTAACTCAATTTTCCCACAGGAACATGTTCGTAGACGGCACGTTCTGAAGCATGGAATTGCCCCTTGAAGGTGCAAGGCGCATGCCAAAATATGATATGATAGTGATAAGTTTATTTAACAAGGCTTGTGCTTCGCTTGGATCTTCAAAGAGGCGACAGTGCATCGACATGACCGTAGTGACGGTTTGCGTACCCCTGTGGGAGATTGATCTATAGAGGGATCCCGCAGAGTAGTATACCAGGTCTGTTGACTGGAATTCCCAGCTAAACACCGATGTTTTGTGGTTAGGTTAATGAATCAAGGATCATCGTTGACCTCTCGGGGTCTGAGCGCCTTACGAGTATCTCATCCCAACCACGATACAAACAAGCAGTAATACTCTCATGTGGTGGGTGGTGTCGTCAGATGGTCGCCTTACTGGCTGCACACAGCAGGGTAAGTAAGAGAAAACAGGCTACTGCCGATGCCTCAATCCCTGCCCTTTCGTATGCTTTTCATCTACATAGCTCCACCCATCAATAACACTCTCCTTCTATGCCCATCGAATATGACCCCATATTTGGCGATAAAGAAGCTGTTGGGGCAGGATATGATATGTAGAGGTTGGTATCACCCTCAGTCATCAAGCGGATCTTCGCCTCTGTGTGGTTCGTGCGGTAGAGTCCATGAAGGAGTCTCACAAGCTGGAAGCTGGTTGCTGCCTATTAATCGTGTCCACTTACGCCCCAACCGATTGCTGCTCCTTAAAATTCCTGGATTCCAACCAGCAACTCGTCCGGAGGCCCGCCTCACCTGGTTTCTATGGCCGCGCAAGGTGTGGACGAATCGCTTAGCAAGTCAAACTGGCAGATCCGGATGAATCGTCGCCTGGAGTCTCTTTCAACTGCTCCATCATCAAATGGGAATTCAAGCTAGAATGAGATCCCCACCTCTTTGCACCGTCTTGGGACTTTTGCGTGCTATACGGCGCCCCAGGTCCACTCAACCACTGGATATCAGAAGGAACAGGAAATGGAATGGAAATGGAAAGGTCTAGAGAGCTAATAAAACCCGAAGATTAGTTCGGTTGGTTCGAGCGACCGATTCCCAGTTCCATTTGTGGACAGGATTACAAGGATCATTATCTTTCATCTTTCAGCTGCAGCACACTTTTGGTGCCTAGCTGCAATGCCACCCGAAGGAAACACGAGGACTGGGATACTGCCAGGTCGCCCAAGCCTAAACAGGGGAAGTCGAGAGTGAAGTGACAGTCTTGAATAAAGAACGCCCTGGCCGGTGGGACGAATAATTCGAACAACACCCAGAGTGGGCACCGGGTGCAGCCTACCGTTGAAATAAAACACTGGACGGTGAACGTGGAACGTGGAACTCTCTACGGCCTCCCAAGCGCCACAGAGATCTTGGTTTGGATGATCTCCCATCCGCATTGTTCGAACATGGTTGAGGTCCTCGGTCAGTGCTTGTCC